AACACTTTTTCAGCCATTAATCCAGATGTTTTCGTGCATCCCAGGGTGCACGTGTCATGTTCTTTCCTCCCTTTAACGGAGGCAGATGTTCACCTTCGAGACTGCTTACTAATGACTTTAGCAGATCATGCGTTGCCTTTTTTACTCCCCTCATTCATGTTTTTCTTTGAAACATTCATATGGAACGAGTGTGTCAATTGGAGGTTCCCCAATAAACATGAAAAGACTGATTTTATAGGGTGATTAATCAAACAATTTTAGTTTACCATCGTTTAATTGGAAGTTTTGTGATACAGGGAATAAAACGTTTCATTTTTGAATTTCCTTTTTTTATCTCAACGCAGACGTGCAGACAATTTTGACTAATCGGTCTAATCTATGTGTTCTGCTGATGAGGCCACTTCCGGTGGGTTGACCACTCACTGGAGGGAAGTGTTCCATCTAGGTGAGGAAATTTAGCAGTAAATACAAGTCATGAAGCCATAGCAGAATCGTGTCTCTTTGACCTGGATATTAGAACATAAGGCGTTTTTCAGTGACCTATGACCAATCCTCTGCGCCGATGGGACGACGTTCTGTTCTCTGCTACTTATGGACTCGTAATCCGCATAATGTCATGGGGAGTGACTCTGGTAAAATGAAGGCAAGTGGAGTTTTAGGAAGTGGTAAAACATTAACTTCAATTGTTATAAGGAAGGGGATCGGTGTAAGGCAATTTGATTCCTTCCCACATAGAGCAGCATAAGGCTAGAGAGAGCAGAAATGGGGAATTAGTTTTAAAGAGGGGACAAACCCTCCACCTGACGGGTTAACATTATCGTCTAATTCTAAGACTATTTTACAATATGCTACTAAGCAAGTTTATTTAAACGTGGAGTTGAAAAGTACCAACTTTTGATGGAAACAGTTGTGAATAAAAAGGTAGTCCACGCTTTGAGGAAACAGGTTAAACACTTTTAACATCTTGAAATGGCGAAATTATTTATTTCTAAAATAAAGGAGTTTTTAGGTTCAGTCATAGTCGGTGAACAGAGATTGTAGTCGGCACGGAGCTTTGGGCCGGTTCCCATTCACATATCCTGGAGCTACCAGTTATTTATGAATGGAAGGTTCTCTTCACACCAAGATAATACAATTTGTTTACTTTTTCATCTTCCATTGCAAATTTGATAGAAAGCAGAAAACAATGGGCAGCATTGACAATACTACTGACCTTTAGCGTTCGGAGAGAATTGGAGTGATTGTTTACTGCGAACGGTTCAGCACCATGCATGCACACGCACACACAAACCCTCATCATCACCATCAGCGGTGACACAATCTTCACTTTATGCCCATCGATTTCGAGCATTCAACTTCCATTGTTTGGCTAGTGTAGTATTCCATTCCACTTCGGCAACAATTTTTTTCGCAGAAAGTCGGAATTTGGCGTCCTCTTGGTACCCGAATAACAATTTGGCATTTCGTACGAGTGAAGAACTTCAACTTATGCTTTTATAACGAGGTCACACTGTACCTTTGGTGGCTGACCCCTTTCAAATAGGCCAGAAGCAGTAACCTGAAGCAAGCTGTATGACTGACCGTAAAGTGAATTTGCTAAAAGGGGTAATCGGATAAATGGGTAGAATCGGAAACCAAATCAAACAGTTTCCACTCCCCCAAACGAATTTAAGGTGAAATTGCGTTCTCTAACATCCGGTGCAGCCTCTAACAACTATAGGTCTTCGTGAAGAGGCAATCAAAAAGTGGACAATTGGAGCTGGATGAATGGATGGGCCTATGGAAACACAGCTATTAGATAGATGAGGAAACTTATATCAGAAATTTGTGATTGTCAAGATAATTTCTTAGCGCTTTCTAATTTTTGCTTACCAGTAATGCCAGCAAAATTGACAAGAAAACCGAGAAGCATAAAGATTTCGAGGATAGCTAAAATTGTTGTTGGCATCGATGCAGTGAAGGGGCCCCAGTACCTATGGGATGTTAGAACTGAACTGGTGCCATTTTTTAACCCAACTTATCATGTGACGCCATCAAGCCAGTTCTGAAGCGTGTGTCTGTGTGATACAATATTATTAGAACAATTCTACCTTAGTCATGCGTAAAGTGGTTTAATTACCAGCTCAAATAAATTTACCTAACACAGTCCTCTCCAAAGAAATCGGTGTTGCAGAGCAGTAGCAAAGATTTATACTTAGCAGGAGATATTTAAAATTGTTTAAGCTAATTTTGCTGACTAACTAAACAAAAACTACAATCCGGGAATAAAGAATAAAAAGTGGGAAAAAAAGGATTAAAATAACTTCTATTACCGCCCTCTTAAACGATGTGCCTGCATTTATGAGGCCAAACGCTAAAAAGGGTAGGATTTAGGGCTCCGTTGAAATGCACCGCCATTTTTATTACGAATGTATTCAAGTCATAAAATCCTATTTTGAATTCACTGGCAGTCAACAATTTTTAACCTGGAAGGTGGGTACCTAATCGTGGTAACGGATTCGCGAAAATTTGGACCTGCATGAAATGCCTAAGAATGTAATTACCATGTATATGAGCATGAAATTACTAAAGTAAATGAGCATTTTCCTTACAAGTAACAAGAGATCCTCTTTCTTTTTTTTCAGTGGATTTTGACTCACTCACAATTTTCAGGAACCATAAAACCAAGTGAAGCTGAACTGTTGCTTTCTCTGCCTCCGATCCTAAAGGTGGGAATTTCTTAAACACCACGCTGAATTATTCCCATAGAGGGTATTTTATTCTTGCAGGCATAATTAATGACTATCGTTAAACGTTAACGACAGTTCTGACCATGAAAATTGGAAGGGAACTATAAGTCCTCTTCATGCTGATGGAGCGCAATAGCTAGCTGTGTTTGTTGGTGAATAGTCCCCAACAAACAAGCTTCAATTGCAGTCACTCCATGCAACGGCGTTCTTTATTAGCGAAAATCAGTTAGGAGCTGTTGTACTTTGTTTAGTTGTTTAATTCTTCGTTTTGGTTTCGCGGGCACTGGGAGGCCCACTTTCGTGCTTCCATTAGACTGAGCGGCCTCCGACCGTGTCAATTTTCCCCAGACCTTTTCTACTTTGTCAATACATTTTCTGATTCAAATTGACCTTAGAAATGACTCGGTGCGCTACAGGGGTAAGTTCCATTGCCTGAAACCTCGCTTTCTCCTCAAATAAGGTTGATAGACTTGACACTTATCATTTATGTATGGACTGAAAATTCCTATCCCAGTGGTAAAAAAATAGTCACGAATAATCACAAATCTTGAATTTCTACTTTAATCGCTGTGTTTAAAATGTGCCGAGCAAAGGTCGCAAGAAAAATACACAAAGGTAAGTACATTTCGGTACCGGATCACATTATGTAACAGTCCTCTGATCTAGGCTGGCCAATTTGACTTAACTTCTAATCACTTTTAGGGATACTCTGCGTTGTATTTTCTTTAAGGATGATGAATGATTCCTGTGCTGTTAGGTGTCAAGACATCTTCCACTGTCGACTTTACTGACAAAGGAGCAATTAGCTGTCAATTAATCTGGGATAATGGGCTTGGTAAATACAGACGTTACTTGAATGTGTCGTTATCTGATCAAATTTAATAGATATTTGGTGTCGGAAAATAATTTAACTGCTACAGACGACTATATTGTAGTTATTTAGTACTTATTTATCCACATATATAACTGCACGGCCCTTACATCCGTTTTGGTAGTGTGACCCTGTAGTCATGCCCAGAACCTCCTAGCCCCTCCTCGCGTTAATAATTCATCCACTTCCAATTGAAATGCCTTACTGTAATTTCAGAGACTACTGAGGGGCTACAAAAGGAGTATGAGTGCCTGTAAATTAATTTGCCCACCAACCACGTTGATTACGTTTTTTGCCTTCCAGAAAAGTCGTAACTTATAGGAGAAACCTTAAGTAGATACGCCCCGATTCCTGTTGCACAGTTCCTTCTGATTTCTACAATAAGTCAATTCATCAAGTAACCAAGCGTTCAGTAAATTTAGCAAGTATTTTCACGATAGATTGCTTCGTCAGTATTCATTTCCTTCAAAAACAATGCTGAATTCTACAGGAGATGCAGTGGGAAATCTACCTAAGTTTTCTAATGACAAGTACTTCCCCTCTGCAGCATGGTCCTTGACCCACGCCTATAGCCTGCCAGCCATTCCGTACACGAATCGTGCGCATAGGTGAGACTGGGAGGACTACAAGCTATCCTTAAAGCTAACATTCCACTCAAGGCAACCCCGTTTTGTAAAAAGGAATTGTAAGCAAATGCAACGACGTTGAGCGATGATGATTGGGACGAAGTTTACTACTTAGAAGTGATTTGATGACACATTAACAAAATGTCAACTTTACTTTTCTATCTCAAAATTCTGACCGGAACCTGGCACAATATTCGCTTACATTCTACTCTTTTCAAAGTTGGAAAAACCACTACATATAAATCTTCATAACAGGTCATATTTCTCAGTGACAAATGTTTTAATGAAGGTTTACTGTCTCCTTCGGGACTGTTTAACAGCACTTTGAACTCCTTTTATTACATTTTGGAACCTTTTGCTGCTGCTGAGTAGTGCCAGGAAAATTGATTACAGCTTTGCAGTCCCTTCACGAGGTATTCCAAAAAGAAAAGCATATTAAGAAAAAGCTACATAACGACGTAATGCTTCTTTCAGTGTTCTCAATTATAATTGCCATCTTTTTAAAATGGAAGACGGACTAATTGCGGAAAACACCTCTATGTGTTACCGCTAAAAATAAAAAAAACTAAACCTAGGTACCTCCTTTTCTATCGCCTTTTATACCATTACTTGAAGCTTCGAGAAATATCATTAGAGGAATGTAGAGGACGAGTATGGAAATGGGGGCGGTATCTCCTTCCCCATATCCCTCCCTTCCTCCTTCATTTCTTCAAATCAATAGCATTTCAAGGCTAAGTTTTGCACACTGTTGTGATGTGGTATTCGCTGTGGGCTATGCGCTCGGTCTCGTGTTGCACCATCTTGAGAAAACAGAAATCGCTTCCTACTGATTCACTAAGTCCAAGCCCTTTTTGTGGAAGCACAGAAAGAAGAAGAAAAAAGAAGGAGGAAGAAAAGGAGGAAGAGGAAGATGGAGCTGCAGAAAATAATAATAGGGGTGATGATAGGGGTTATGCTCGTAGTGGGGGTAGTGGAAGCATCTACCATGTGCTCATTCTTTCGTTCAACTTTGCAATGCAATAGTCGTTTCGTGTGACAACTCAGTAACCGAACAATGCGGAAATGCACTTTTGATAGATACATCGACGAGAAGTGAAGTGACGTGACTTAACGTGAAGAAGGAGAAGAAATGGATAGTCATTGCAGTTCGGTGTTATCAGTTAATGAACAGAATGGAGTGTGCTTTTACCGAGTAAGTTGGACGACTTTCCTTTCTCAGTTGATGCAAGTGTAAACAGGTTGTTGCATCGTCCACGTTTAGCACGACCCTCAGTAGACCTATGGCCAAGTTCCTAGCACCATAATCTCCAGTGCATACGCCGCCCACAATTACACGTATTTTTCTTTTCTAGTCTGGAATCGTGGTTGGGGGTCAGGCGTCAGGGGTCTCCCTCAATCAAAGGTAACGCCTGTTTTTGAGAGCTTCCCCTGACTCCCATGCTCTCAACCATTTCTGAGCGGAGCCTTCTACTTTTGCTCCTGCTCCTCGATTGTGGCAACCCACTTCCACATCCCACACAGCTAATTGGTCTAGAAGCTTCTGCAGATTCGTTTGAAGGTGAATTTAACGCGAGTTGGTCGGAATCGAATGTGTTGGATCGAACGACATGAGATAAAATGAGGATGTTAAAAGTGGGTGGAAAGTAGTGGAGAGTACCACGATATTGAGTACCTATATCCTGACGGATACCTCTGAATTCACGAAGAATAGATCTGCATAATTGCTTTCATTTTGCAAGTCCTTACAAGTCAGGTTTTAACAAGTAATTGCAGCAGACTATGCCAAATAACAAAACGAATTTCCAGGTCACCCAATAAGAGCATTAATGCACCCAAAGCCCTAATTTTTACTGCAGTTTAAGCAAGGGGCCACTTGCCCCTGTGGTACACATATTCTTTCCTGTTATAACCTTTTCATGGTCTTCGAAATGCCTCCTTAGAGTAAGGCCCCAATTTGGTCACTAGAGTTTCTCCTCTTTGCTTGTACTCTAGGCAAACTCTTTGCCATTGTTTGGGCAAAGTACTGAGAACCTCTACGTCCCTACGTACATCGACGCAATACACTGAAGATATCAGACACAAGAAGGTACAAAAACATCCATTGTTCCATGTTTTCTACCAAGTGGAGGCTTTTCATTTGCTTCCATATTTCTTTTAGCGTGATAATTTCAGGAGTGGAGGAGGTGCGAAATTGGCCAATGGTTCTATCTGACACTGTTCGTAAAAATAAATCTATTGTGGGGAAGCTAAAATGCCCCTGAGCAAATAAAGATGCTTAGATTGGTCCTCCGGAGCAAATTTTTTTATTCACGGGTAGAATTACTTTTATTGTTAATGTCATAATTTTTTCTTCTATTCTACCACAATACTTAATATCCGTCAATTCACTGGTCCTGTAAATTTACTGCTTTAGCAGCAGGTCAAATCTAAAACTTATCCGATTGACAATCTTTACGATGGTGGTCCAAAACCACAACCCCCCAGGCACATGTCCAGCACACTGCAGCCAAACCTACTATGCTTCCCTCCATTCGATTCGTGGTCGGCCCGTGTCGTCCACGTGATGCGCCCTCCAACAACTGTCGACACTTTAAGGTTGGGGGAGAAGGAGAGAAGGCGGCAAAATCAAGCTGCTTCAGCGGGTGGAAAAGAGGATGAGTATGTACCGTATCACTTCCCGCCCTTTTCCTCCCTCCCACCCCTCTACCACTGCACATACGCACGCACCCACACGCGTAGGCGCATAATTGACAACCATCAATTAAGTGAGGTGACTAATGAGGACTAGTTAATAAAACCTTGTCCCCTACTAACTTTGATTTTTTCCGCTGGCAGGGTGACCCGCATATCGAATGTCTCGCTTATCAGACATCTTGAAAGTGGGGAGGGGGAGGCCTGGCGCGCCAGTGGGAAAACAGGACAGTCGCATAGTGGCTTAAAATTCAATTAGAAGGAAACTTGGGTACTTTAAATGTTTTTAGCATTTTCTTTAGGAAAATGATTTGTAGGATCACTAACATTACCGACTGAACCTGTGTTACACTCTACAAAAGTTTTACTGTTTACTTAAACATATCGTAGCAAGTTTTGTTTTATCCGGTAATCTGCCTGGTAGATTTTCCTACGTAATCGCCAGCACTTTTAGGAAAATCTGATGAAGGTTCTTCTTGGGAATTTTATTGGTCTAATGTAATTCAATGATAGTCTATTTAACCCTAATTTTTGGTAACTTGGGTATTTAACGCTCCGCCTTTGCACTTTCGCTCGGCGGAATGGCCTCCAAACCGCGACTTGTAAATCCCTTCTAGCAGTCCTTCTCTATGTCACCAATGCATATTCTCCCTACTATTATCACATCTTTCGTCTTCAGAAAAGACTCAAGTAGCAAATCCGATCCCAAATGGCAGCTACGCCTATATTGCTGAACG